TTTTAAGTTTGTAAACCGCTTCAGTCGCGTTAAGAGACATGCTGGCACTTAAAGCGTGATTGAGAAAGATTAAAGGCGACTTTACTTAGCTTCACAGAAGAAACATAACGATGCTGAGTACTTTCAATGGTCATTTATTTTTTTCTGTGTATTTCGAAAAACTGACGGTATAATTAGCTTGAAATGAACATCGAATTCTGCACACTCACATGGCGCCTGGGTGGCATTACGTTTTATTTAACTGCCGAGACAAGACTTAATTTCCAAGGGCCAAACTTTCGAGGTGCATCTTTTGATAAATGAGCTTTCGTCTGGTATGGTTATAATGTCGAAATTTTAGGTACCAGGCGTCGTTTAAACCGGTCAAAGTTAGTCTTCATTTTGTCTCCCAAAATATCGTGCAAAATACACCTCCATAAAAACAGCGATAAAAATCATACCAAAGAGAACTACAGATAAAATTTTAATATGCTTTCAGCTTTCACTTTGCAGTGATATTGTAATGATTGTACAAAGTTTGAAGTTGAATAGACTTTCTTAGCGCTGCCAACTTCTTCCTAAAGTTGCGTGACGGCCGTTTAAGCAAGGCGAAAACGGCTTTCTTAACGAATTTTCAAACTTTTTAAATTTTCAGCCGGAAAAAAAATCGCTGGAGCTTTAAAATATTTTTTTCGAAACTAGTTCACAGAAAGGGATGTTTTGGCAAAATAAAAAAAAAATTCGAGTTTTCGTCACTGACTTTCGTTTCTCGAAATTTTCTGGTGGCTTCTCTTAAGGTTCTGGGTCTTTGGTCATCTCACTGTTTTGAGGGGTATATCAAAACTCCACCCTCTGTTCTGGCACAGGTTCTCCAAAAGCTCGTTAGCATATTATAAGCTTGTCAGCCTGTTATACCAAGTGATATACATGCCTTTATTTTGCGAGTTTTGAACCCTCACATGTCACCGGTAGCTCTGACAAATGTACTTTCTCGTCACACCCATCTCGTAAGTATATTAAGACAACATGTCGTTTTCCTCATCCTCCCAAGATGAAGGGCATTATATCCTTTTAAATGAGATGCGAACCATCATTTCCTGTGGCTCGTCAATGGGGGAATGCTTTGCATTCTGTGGGGATGAAGTGCTCCCCTCGTCATACTCTTGCCCCCATAGATTCGAATTTCGGAGGTCAACTCCCTCCTTTCTACCCCCTGGAGCTAGGTTAGTGGAGGCCCATCCCTCCCGTCAGAGAGGAGGCCCAACTCCCTCCTCTCTACCCAACAATGTTCACAGTGACCATGAGAGGGGGCCAACTCCCTTCTCTTCAGCCACTGTGTACATCCCTTTCGGCTGTAGGTTTCCTAGATCTTTTGTTGACACTCCAGGGGTCCATGTGGCTAAAATATTAATTGAGCACTTGGTCACCCGCTTCCCCATTTTCAGCCACTTAAAGTTGTTGTTGTCCTCATTCCAAAGGTAAAACAAGGGACGGTTGATTAAATCACGATTTGTTGAACATATGAAATAAATTTCAGTTAATCAACAACCCTTGTTCCCGTTTTGAGCCATGAGCTTTGCTGAATTCCAGCCTTTGTCCTCGAGGGATTCCACGTGAGAATCCTGAGACCATCCAATCAGAGCGAACTTTGGCATCTCGATACGTGCGGGCTAACTCAACCACGGTCTAATGTTCCCACATGAAATAAGCAACAGCGTCCACTTTACCAAAAAAATTGCTTTTTCTGTCCCCTCCNAATAGCTACAGTTTGCCAAAAGGCTTTTCTCACCTTCTAGAATTTGGTTTAAAATCTTAGGGCAACTCAGTGTTGCCCCTAGATTGTTATGTACGCTAATGGAACTCTACGTATCAGTGCCTCTTCTGCGTTTTCTCTGTGTACACTTCAATTTAAATTACCTTAATAGACATTTTAAATTTTATGGAAACTACATTCTACATTTGAGGTGGTTAAGATGTGTCATTTTGAAGGAATATTAATTATTTCAGACACTAATCATTCACCTAGGACTGTTTGGGTTCAATTTAATTATACTTAACAATGTTTCCAGGAACAATGTAGATTCCAAGACTTCGATATTAATTGTCTGAACAAACTATATAAATCTTAGAGAAGCTTAAGTACTTCACTTAGGTTTAGTTTTAGTTAGATTTAGCATGTCGGCTAGCTATTCACACAAACATTTAATGGCACTTTGCCACTCAAGTAAGAGCTACTTTAGATCATGGTTACCCAGTTATCCTTTGAAGTTGCATTGTTACCTTTCTTAGCAAGTTCTTTTTCAGTTGGTCAAATAAACACAGTAATGAGGATGAAGTGCTCCTCTCGTCACTCTCTTGCCCCCATATACTCGAATTTCGGAGACCAACTCCCTTCTTTGTACCCCCGGAGCTAGGTTAGTGGAGGCCCACTCCCTCCCGTCAGAGAGGAGGCCCAACTCCCTCCTCTCTACCCGAGAAAGTTCAACGTAGCCCTGAGAGAGAGCCAACTCCCTTCTCTTCAGCCACTGTGTACATCCCCTTGGGCTGTAGGTTTTCTTTTGTTGACACTCCAGGGGTCCATGGGGCTAAAATATTAACTGAGCGCTTGGTCACCCGCTTTCCCATTTTCAGCCACTTAAAGTTGTTGTTGTCCTCATTCCAAAGGTAAAACAAGGGACGGATGATTAAATGTGAGTATCAAAAAAGTCATCTAGCTAGAGACACCACATTCACATGTGCTGTTAACAAATTTAATATTCCCCGATGTTATTGAAGAAATTAGCACGAAATTTATCTGAATAGCTTTGCAAGAATTCAAAAACGAAAAAAATGTAATTAAGTGTAACTGCCATGGCGGCTGCCCTAGTAATCCAGAAATGCCTGTTTACGATGACTGAAGTTTGGACAGCTCACAATTAAAGCTGGGAATCGAGTAAAGAGTGCTTAAAATGGTGATATTTGTTGCAGAAACTGCTTTTTGATTTCAAAGCCTCTTATTCGTCCCATCGATCATGAAAACGTAAAAAGATGTTTAACGCGAGTATCAAGTTCTTACAAGTGTTGTATCAATGTTCGACTTAAATTTCGAGTTTGCGCTATATGTATCTTTTTAGCCGAAGATAGAGTTCGAAACTAATAATTAACTCGCCAAGTTTATTATTAACAGTCATTTCACTGATAACTGACGAATCGCCTAAAATCTAACTGAGAACTGATAAATGGCCGTGATTTTAACTGACAACTGACATTTGTGCCCCCCCCCCCCAGACAGAACTTCCATTAAGTCCTGGAAAAACCTGTATCAGTACAGGTACATACATAACTGACTTAAATTGAAGATGTTGTTGCTTTAGGTATATAAAACATTTGTCATAGAAGATTTTTCAAACACTTTCTGTTGCATTATTGTAAAAAAGGGTCCGAAATCGCCTTTGTTTACTCGTGTGTCAAATGCAATTTAAATTTTTTTTTTTAATCACGATAAGGTACATTTTGGTCACTGAAAAAATTGCGATTCGTAAAATTTTCGACTCACAACGAAATACAAAAAAGCAAAGTTCCTAATATGTTTCTCTGCCTCCAAGATACTCTTACTTCTAACTGATCACCAGCTGAGTGTTATAGAGTCCAATGATAATGTTACGGACATTTAGTTTGTTGAGGGACTGATTGACATGAAAATTATCAATAAGACTACAAATTCTCGTCACCAGAAGTCCATTCTTAATCGCCCCGGAAAAAAAAGCTGGTTGCAATTTCGAACCCTTTCTCGTCATTATACCACGTTCTATCCCATTCTAGCTTTCGGCTTATATTTTGTCTGCTATTGCCGGAATAGAGCCGATATTGATGATGAAGAGCATAGCATAATCATGATGGCGACGCTGCGAAGTTGCCTTTTCATGACGCTTCTGATAAATCTATCCTCGCCTTTCTGACTTTTTCAGTAATATCTCTTAGCCCCTCTACGTTTTCATTCCTCACCATACGTTCTAAAATGTTTTGTTCAATGACCTCTTTAAATGCATCTACCTCCTTTAGCAGGCTGCGCATCATTTCAAATGGCTCATTCTTCCTCGTGCTTTGCTGTCTCCTTGGAAGTTCGTCTAAATTGTACAAAGCCAAGAAAACAAATTTCGTATCGTTTTCAATTGAACATATACGACCCATATACCGAGATTTTAACAAGGAAAAACCAGGCAGATCTGGTTGATGTGTCCGACAGACGCTTGAATTTTGGAGAACATTGGCGATTGACAGTAGAGAGCAGTCTATAATGTTTGTATGGTTTTGAAGGACACCCAGAACTGAAACTTACCTACTCTAGATTTGATTCTCGTCACAGCTTGGTCCATCTCTCTGACTTTTTGAAGACTTTCTCTTAACTCATCCAACTTCATCTTTTCACTTCCTGTCTCATCTATCCTTTCACTTTGTTCTGTGTTTTGTGTTCTCGATGCATTTACCTCCTCCGAAGTACTGGACATCGCCTCAGAGGAACCTTCTCTCTCGCTGGCTTGGTGTTTCCCGGTTTCGTCCTCTTTGTCGCATACTGCCCAAAAAAAACCCAAATATGATGTCATTAGTTACCCATCCAAGGAAAAATTATGCATAATTACGCAAGAACAAGAAGAAGATATCACCTATCAATTCTACGGCAGCCATAAAAACGAAATAGACGAGAATAATACGGTCTCGCTCAACCTCCGCACCTGACTCAGCTCTGATGGATAGAGATCGAGGCGCTAGCTTGATATAATGCTCTAAGAGCGTGTCTGTAATTTCCGACTGCTCGAAATTGGTTAAAAAATAAATCTTCCCTTAAACTTTGCATGTGGATAAGGAAACCATTGCCTATCATCGGAACAGAAGGGGTTTCCCTCAGATTTCAAACGTTTTTTATTTTTGAACAATTTTCCGCACGCAGGTCGAATCGTGATATTGACATCATTTGTGCACAAAAAATGAGCGATCTTCATTAGGATCGCAGGCTGTCAAAAATGATTCAATACGAGAGATATTGTGGAATACAACAGTAAATCAACTCTCCAAGCGTAATCACAAAGGCAGAGTATCTTGATAAATGTAAACACTGTCGTCACGTCAAGTATGCCACTACTCGACTAAGCAGAAAAGTGGTACTTTTTAAATTGCAATTTCTCCGTATTGGGACAAAACTAGATATCAGGAGCTGTACACACTCAACAACCGTGCACGAAAGCACCATATTCCGTGAAAATACCTATGGCTGTTATCGCAGGAAAAAAATTAAGGGAAGTAGAAATGTGGATTTTTCACATACCCGTAGAGCGCTGCTTTCGGTAATTTGCATTCGTAATTGTCCACAATGAATCACAAAATAATCGCAAATGAACAGCTCAGTGCACTTACAAATACTGTAGATTGTCTTTAAGTCGGGTTTTATTGTCCGAAGGTCTAATGATTTCAAGGATTTCTTTTCGGGTGCGAGTCTGTAGGAATTTAAGTCATTCAGTCTGAGCGACGATTCAGCGGCACCGGGTATTTGTATTCTACTACTGTAATCTTGTCCATCTTCCAGCTTTAAAGCCATGCTGAGAATAAAATCCCCTAAAATACACAGCTCCATCCGAAGTCAAGTTGTAAACTGTTCTAAATTTGCCGGCCATATTTAAGAAATCGAGTGACATTCGTCGTGACATTCTCCTCTTTGATAAACAACCCTGTGGCTTAGATTGCATGGGAATCTGGACAGCCGTGGGCTGGGGGAGAGGACAGTCACTAGAGGCAACCGCATTCTGTGACCAGTCCTTCTAACTTTGCAGCGAAGTCTTGTTTCCTGTCCTTCGATGTGTAAGGTATCTCATAATAATCAAGAATTTCCTCGAGAGTTGTATTATTCAGTTTCAGGAGTTTTTTGCTCAGTAGCAGATTCACAAGCATTGAAAGTGTCATAGATAATGGGGTGTTTCAAACCAATGTGCGCATAAATAGAGTTTAGAAGCTCTACTTCATCTTCAAATTCTTCCCATTCAACTCTCGCTGCCTCCTCTTCTTCTGAAGGTGTTAAATGTTTTCGAGTGGACGCCAGCCTGGAGGAACTTTTTATCTGGCTTTCTTTTAGCCAATCCTCCATTGAGAAAAGTCTCTAACCTTCTTCGTTTCTTGCACGTCGCATATCTTCTGCAACTTCTTTTGGAGACAGAATGTTACCAGTCACTATTCCAAAGTCAAACTTCGTCGTTAGATAGGCCTTTATATGCTCTGCAAAACAAACATTCCCTGAACTTGTTGCCAACGAAATTGGCAACAAGTTCACACAATTCTGAAAAACTGCCAAGCAGAAGGTCCTCTTGCTTTGCTGTGTCTTTTTCTTTGTCTTAAAATTGGTGATGGTAGAAAACTGCTTAGCCCAGTCTCTCCCTAAGGAATCATAAAAATTTTCCTTAAGCAGGCTTCTGGAGGATTGGTGGTCCCCAACATCCAGATGGAGTTCCAAATCAGACAATGTGTCGCACGATTTGTCACATCCTGGCTCATGACATCAAATACGCCAATCTCTTCAACGTCTTTTTCCTCTGTTTCTTTCTTTTTGTCCATTGTTCTACTTTTGCAAGGAAAGAACCATCTGTATTGAGAACGTTTGATAAGGAAGGATGGACTAAATGTTTCTTATACATGGATTTAGCTGCAACCGTTTTACCCTTGCCGATATTGTAAGCCCTCCAGATTCTGACCTTCTTCTTTTCGAATCGAAACAGTGTGATATTTGCTGAACCCTTGTACTTTATGTCCAAAGTATTTTAGTTTCGTCAATCACACCGACACTAGCAGTTACTCCCGTTACTGGTCGTTCTTTTAATGCAGAGTGCATGTCAACAGCAGAGAGGATGTCGTGTCTTTCATTGCAGTAATTTTTAATACTTGACTTCATTGGACAGATAATCCTATCGCAAATATATTTCCCACGCTGTGACTCTGAGAAATCATATCCTAAAATATGCACACCACTTGACTTAGAATTGTCATTGCAGGCTAAGATCAACATGTCGCTGCGGTAACAGCCTTCGTCGTTCAACCTTAAAAATGCTTTGGTTTTCTTTGGGTTTTCCACTTTAGTGTCTGGAAAAGATTTTGAACAATTGATGCCACCGAAAACCAGTTCTGGTTGCTGCTGTCAAACAAGTGAACAAAAGACCGCACGCTAAATGTTTCATTGTGCTTCGAAATAACACTGCTCACTTGCCACGACAATCCACGTTTCCCTAACCATTCATATTGCTTCTCTCGATATTTCTTGGTTGGAACTTCGTGGCCCAGTCCATAATTACTGGGATAGTGTTCTCATCGAGCTGTTGAAGTAAGTTATGCTTCCCTTTCTCCTGATTTGTCGAGCGCATCATGTGAGCCTTCCCCTCGAAGATGTCCTCTTCAGCCTGTTTGAGGTCGTAGAGCAAATCCCCTCGCCTTTCCGTCATACTTGAATTGTTACATTTTATTTGGATTTTCGCCTCGATGTCGTCAATAACGAATTTTAGACGTTCACTTTCTTAACATATCTCATCAAGTGTTTGTGAGGGCAAGTTTGCTGCAGCTCCTCGTCCTTCGGATCACTGAGAGCATAAATCCTGCAATGCTCTTTACAAAGGCTGCCATTTGCCATTTTCTATTGCACAGTCAACAGGATACCTCACCTTGAGGTACAGTCTACTGTCACGTAGGGTCTTCAACGTGCCTCCAACCCACCCCTTATCAGCACCAAATTGCCCCAGCTGAGAAATGATCTTTTCCAACGTTGAAAATGCTAGGACTCCATCAAATGCTGCATTATCGAGGCCACTTAGGGATTTACGCTGCGATGCTTCCCATACCTCAAGAATCCTGAACTTGGTCGATCTACTTGTAGGCACAAACTTCTCTTCTTCGCAATATCTTTTGTACTGCGCAACTATAGTGGATCTTGTTACCGTGCGGATGACATTAGGCATTTCCACTTTCTCACCGCTGTTCAATGTCATGTTTTGCATACCGAATGCGGCATCTTGATAGAAATATGGGCGGTTTATAAAAGAAAGGAAATGGTCAAGTCTTCCCTGACCGATATGTACTCTGTGAGAGATTATCTTCTCACGTATTGATCCAGGTCCCTTCAGTTTTGCATGAGCACGTGCTCGCTTGATTTGCCATTTTGAAACCCCTCCGTAGGGCTCGTGAAGCTTAATCGACGACTTTACTGAATACCTGTATACATATATATTTAGTATCTGTAGCTTCAACCCGCGAGTCATAAAGGCTGGACCCATCTTCAGGAGCGATGATATCGCATACTACTCTACATGCTTCTTCGGCTTTCTCCATGCATATCCGATTTTCTTCCGGAGTTGCTTCGTTCCATTTACTGGTCAGCGAAATTATGTTCAGAGAGTTTCTTCATCGTTTCAGTGAAAGCTTCCAGTGCACCAGTGGCCGATAGGTCTTCCTTCGAGTCATCCCTGTCAATTAGTGTAGCGGACTCACCCGAGGTCCATGCATAGCTTTCAGAGGCATTCAGTCTGGCGATATCAGGAAGTACTTCTGTGACTGGACAGTTGGCAGCTCTGCAAGACGTACAGCAACTGAATTAAGATTTGATTTTACAAATGGAAACAACTTCGGCCGTCAGATTTCAACTTGAAAGCCACCGTGTCTGGGATGCTCGTGGGACACCTTGATATACGATAACAACACGCAATATTGATTTATCGCTGCGTCAAGTGCCAACCAAATTTATATATCAAATTCCACAATACACATGTGCCACAATAAATTGAAAGACAATTAACCTTTCCCAGACACTTCCTTCATGGTCATAAACTACGCCAACTTCGAGAGTTAACTCTCCATGACTCCTTCTACAAGTGGAGCAAATATCTGTGAAACACAAACATTCAAATGAAAAACAAAGAGAAAGGAAGAGGCATCTATGTGATGATAAGTAGTAAATGAACAATGACCAATGACTTACGTGATCCGATCGGAACTGTGCATCCAAACAAGTCAAAATTTTCTGTGGCAACCTAGATATTGATGACGTGAATGTCCTTCAGTCGCTTTCGTTTTCCTCGGTGACTCGGATACTGACATGTCTGGGTTGTGCGCCAATACTTTCCTAGCTCATCTCTGTGAGTTGGAAAAATGCTCATGTCATTGATGCAATCCCTTTTCCAGCGAAAAATACCTGCTAACGCCAAAATGACCTCCGATATTGCGAGAGATTTTGGCAAGGGACAGAAAGTCAAATGCTTTGCAATATCGCTTGTGAAGTCCGGCAAACGAAATTTCTCCTTCCCTCTTCTGAGATTGGATCACCCACATCTCTTATCACGTATACCTCGAAAACTGCAGCATCGATAATCAAGAGAAGTATCCATTCTGAATAAAGAAAGAATATTAGCGAGGGAGTGTCTGCGCCCCCCTCACCCGCCCGCCGCTGTGCAGATTCTCATGCAATCGAGGCCACAGGGTTGTTTATCAAAGAGAAGAATGACTCGATGAGTGTCACTCGATTTCTTTCAAATGAGCGGCAAATTTAGAGCAGCCTACAACTTGGATTCGGATGGAGCTGTGTATTTTAGGGGAAATTGTTCTCAGCATGGCCTTAAAGTTGAAAGATGGACCGGATTACAGTGCTAGAATACAAATACCCAGTGCCGCTGAATCGTTGCTCAGGATGAATGACCTAAATTCCTACAGACTTGCACCCGGAAAGAAATCCTTGGAATCATTCGACCTTCGGACAGTAAAACCCGACTTACAGACAATCTACAGTATTAGTAAGTGCACTGAACTGTTCATTTGCGATTATTTTGTGATTCATTGTGGACAATTACGAATGCAAATTCCCGAAAGCAGCGCCGTACAGGTATGTGAAAATCTCACATTTCCACTTGGCTTTATTTGTTTTCCTGCGATAATAGCCATAGATATTTTCACGGAATATGGTGTTCTCGTGCACGGTTGTTGAGTGTGTGCAACTCCTGATATCTAGTTTTGTCCCAATACGGAGAATCGCAATTTGGAAAGTACCACTTTTCCGCTTACTCGAGTAGTGGCATATTTCACGTGACGACAGTGTTTACATTTATCAAGATACTCTACCTTTGTGATTACGCTTGGAGAGTTGATGTACTGTTGTATTCCAGAATATCTCCCGTATTGAATCATTTTTGACAGCCTGAGATCCTAATAAAGATCGCTCATTTTGTGTACACAAATGATGTCAATATCACGATTCGACTTGCGTGCGGAAAATTGTTCAAAAATAAAAACTTTTGAAACATCAACAGAAATCGGGGACATTTCGAGCCTGTTACGAATATTGACAATAAACAAAATCCGAAAAGGAAAAATTGCCGAAAGATTTCGGAAAACAAGCCAGTTATTGAGCTTCTGAAAGGGTGATCAGCAAGACATGTTACTTATCAAAATCTATCATGTACTGAACCATGGTAAAAGTAAATCTCAAACCGTAGATCAGAAGGTCACAATAATACTTCTCCGCGTTCTAGAACACAACAAAAAGATTTCAAAATTGGCCGAATCACTTGGCGATGCCTTACAACTTGAAACTTACGATGAGTTCGGCCGATATGATTCCAAAAGCATGGGACACATAAGATGGTGCGTGCGTCATTATTCATACATATCCCATTACTGTGGCCCCGCTTTGATTACTGGACCTGGTGTCACATGTGGGATAAATTTGTAGTTTTCTAAACAACAAAATTCCAATTCGACCTGGTAACAGTGGAGAGCCTGCGCCACCTTGTGAATTGTCCATTGTTAAATCATCATTATTATTAATAATACTTCGGAAAATCTCTGTAAATATTGGTTGTACCTTCCACCGGGCTGCCACATGTTTCTTGATACTTTTCTGACTTGTCGCCTTTTTGTTGGCTTTGTCTTCGTTTTTCTTTTCGCACTACAGCTATTGCAGAGACCAAGAAAATCAACGATGAGAGAGCTTAGTTCAGGTAATATGAATGAATATGCCGTTGTGACGGCAACTAAATGTTTTATGACCCCATTTGACTGCACAACAGAAAAAAATCAAGAACTCATAGGGTATATTCTCTGGATGATTTCCACAGAATGTTCAGATTTAAGTACCTAACAAGTGGTCTGCGTTCCTTTTCATGCGTATTTCAATAAGGGCATCCACAAGACGTTTTACAGAGGCGTCATTCCCTTCCCTGTCCCTCCATGACTGAAGAACAGCAAATCCCTTATCGCAAGCGTGAAAGTAATCCACCTCTATATTGCGAACTTCGCTTTCAGGAACGTTAAGGATTGTTCCAAGGTCTTTCCAGCAGTTTCCCATATCTTCTTTACAAAGTACTGCTATCCTTTTAGAAACAATTGTCTTTCCCAACCCTTCGGCTAATCAGAAAAAAAAAACAGAACCAGCTCATAACTACAACAGATACTCGAGGAAAGATTCAAATATAATCAGAATCAACTTGGACATCAGAGAAAAGACCAAAGGTTCGCTAATTCAAAGTAAACTAATATTCTTATATCCTGCCCAGTTTCTTAGATCATTTTGAAGTGCAGAATGCAAACCGAGCAATGAAACCATCAAGGGAGAAAATTATAAGCAGGTAGATGAAAGAAGAAACTTATTCAGTAGTTAACAGACAATTGCAATGATTTACACATATTTAGAACCCTTTTAAAGGTAAGGGGCAGAAAAAAAAGGCAATTTTAATTCATTAGACTGCACCGGATGAAGTCGGTCGTTACCTAAAGGTTTCTCGAGTGCTTACTCGCACTCTCGATTATACTTGTAGAAAACGTGGTTTCAAACAAGCGGTTTAAACCAAGCAGTCAGTGCGTACTCTAATTATGTCTCAAAGTTGTCAAAGAATAAAGATATGGAGTATCCAACAATGCTACCAAACCGTGCAAAGTGTAATTTTATCCGAAAAGGTCTACCCAGAGGTTACTACATGAAAAGTCAATAAAAAGGTATCACCATTTCTCTTTCAGCATTCTTCCTTTCAAATTCCTCACTACTATTCTAAGAATCAAACAGTTCTCACCCGAGTCTTCTACAGGCGACTCCACAGAAGGTGAAGGTTCACAAACCGGTGGTTGCTTCTGTGACTGAGATGTCTTCCTGGAATTTACAGGAGAGCGGTCCTATTACGAGTGAAAGAAATCCATACATCATGAAAGAAATTTATGTCATTAAAAATGAAGCAACAGGTTTGATCTATTGCAAAACTCTATCAATAGGGTTATAAGTTGGAAAAAAATCCATTCATAATATGTTAAGCTTACAAGCCCACTTTCACTGCAGTAAATTAATGACCCTTTCACACGGAAAACTGAATGTACAGAGTGTGAGCGACATTTAGTTTCCTGAGGCAAATTCCCCGCGTTACAGTAAATGTGCATGGAGACGTCAACAGCTTGGGATCAAACGAAGCGCCCATCCGACATTTTTGTAAGGGTTACATTTGCCATCACCAAGAATTTGATTTCAGAGCTTAAAAGTCTTTCTTGACTCCCAGGCAATTTTTGTTTTCCCATTTTATGACAATTCTCATTTAATGACAAAATTTACGAAAAACAAATGGTTAGATAAAAGGTGTTTCACACGTATGGGATAACACTTTTCTCAAATGGCCACCTTCAAAAACATTCGTAAGAACCCTTAAAGCTCTTTTTAAGTTTGTCATTTCATACGTATCAGTCTCCGAGGTGCTGTATTCGAATTTTCTTTCACTTTTTTCTAACAGTCAAATTGTTCTAATTATTATTCTTTATAACTGGGAGTCGAAAGTATCTAAGTTCTACAAAATGATCAAAATTACATTACAGCCACTTATCATAAATATCGAGAATCCACTGACTGTTGCCAAATTTCGTAATTTATTTTATTTTTCCCACAGGAACCTTTTGGTCAACCTATTTTCGAAAATTATATTTAAACGTTCTATCGCGCTTTTCTTTCTCCGAAAAGTCAAAAAGTTCAAAATAAACCTGGACGGCCGTAGCCCCCTCCCCCCGTAAAGCAATGCCAATTACTGAACTTCGGCGACTTAGAACGCCACAACGTGATGCAATTCACCTTTTAAATGATGTGTGCTAGCAGATAGTCCTTACGACAGATAGAACATTTTGATATAATTTTTCACAAAAATTTCACTAAAAAGGGTCCTTTATATAGGAAAAATAGAAATGAATTACGAAATTTCGCAACTGTCGGCAGATTTTCGAAATTTATGGTCAGTGGTTCTCAAGGTACTACAGGTACTCTCAAGATTTCTCTGAACAAATCATTTAAAAAAGATTTAATACCACGAATAATTTTGAGTGAAAGAATCTTTAGAAGGAAAAGAAAGAAATTATCAAACGTAAGGTCCCTATCATACCTCAAACGGTGCCACTGGATGAAGTAACAGACAGCAAAGTTTTTCTCGTCTCTTCTTATCATTTTCCCTTTTAAAAAATTCTATCGTTGGTACTTTGAAACAAACCGAGAAACTAGCTTCAAAACTTGATTCTCCAGTAAACCTGTGAGAGATGAGAAAAAAGAACAACATTGAACTCACGACACACATTTCTCAAATGGCACAAATAGTGTTGCACGAGAAGGGCGGAATGTTTTATCTTTCTTTTCGAACAAAGGAAGTTTTCCGACGAAAAATTTTTCAAGTAAAAGCCAACGGAGTTACTAAGATTCTGTTTCAGTTGGCAAAGGTAGATCATAATGCATGGTGCTGAAGCACAATTCCGTCGGAAGATTTTAAAATTTCGTTTGTCTTCATTCAGTAGAGATTACCACTATATAATGATATGGACTATAGTGAGTTGGGATGATCAGGCAATTGACCGAAACCATTCAGTGAGGCGGATTTCCCGGAAACCTTTTAGCTGCAAAGTGCTTGTTATGATTCGTGTAAACATACAGGTCCTGCTCTAAAATCTTCTCATTAATTTGCGTAGTATTTTCATTTAGCCACGTTCTAAAGCGGTGCTTATGCCGTGTAATAAATTTGCTGTGGTGAACGAAAGTTACTTACTTTTTAACTTAAGAAATTCCTGTCAAATTCAGCCAATAAGCTTGTTTAATAGCGCTATAGTCTATCCACTGTCTAAAAGAAGATAACGATTCCTGAGGAAGGCATTCAACTGTGAATTCGATGGCAATAATACACTCATTCTCAATGTGATCTGAATCTAAGGTGGATGATTAAAAAAGCATTAAAGTTACATAGGTTAATCTCAGTCAAGGACTTACGTAACGGGGTGTAATTTATATCAATTCCTTCATCAACTGGAGTGAGGCCATTTGACAAAGAAAAGAATGCCTGATCCCCTTTAGCGAGTTGTTTTACTGATTCGGCTTCGCCACAGAGGAGATAGCCATGCTTTGATAATATCTCTTTTCTCAACTCTGTTTCCATGTGGATTGGAAAACAGCAAAGAGTCAGCGATCCTTGCTTTGGTTCTTGTGTTGATTGCTTTTCCTTCTGTTCCCTCTGACTCCAGTAAGCAAAAAAATCCCACTTGTTGCGGACAGGAAGAATCCACGATGAAAAGCTCTCCAGCATCCATATGTTTCGCCGAAGAATCAAGTATGACCCCACATCTAGCAAAAATAAAGGCACAATGGCTATGATACTTGGAGACATTTTGAAAACTGGGAAGATATTATGTAGGTAACTTACTCAATTTATTGAATATCTGACTAATGTCTAAAAGTCGCAAATTAGAAAAATGCATGTGCATGCCATGGCAACGAATTTTATTTTATCGTTTGATACTCCTGCAATATGTAATTCACAGTTCGCAAGCAATTCATATAGGTAGGGATAAAAGAAGATTGCATACTTACTCTAAGGACCGATTGGTTTGAAATGTATCAGTCCCATTTACTTCGAATGTCACGATCCCGTTTTCCAGTTTTGGTAGTGGCCTCAACTTTTTTGTCCAATCGACCCATTTCCGTGAAGTGTCTTTACCACCCCGGAAAAACACTCTCACGTACCTTGATGACATTTCCGATAACGTAATCTGGCGTTCTTGCAAGTCGATAGGTACATTTATTAAGACTGGACAATTCAAACTAACTTGCGAAGGATCACTTAACTCAACTTTAGGTGTGAACTTAATATGAACGACAGGACCAACAAGAACCCCCTTTCCTTCAAAAGCATCACTTGAAACCTCTTGCACCTACGAGAAATCAACTTAAGTTCAATGCACAAATCTCATACAGTTATACATTATCGTGAATTCAATAAATTCGACTACTGTGAACATTATTAAGCATTCTGAGGCACGTGCTCAAGTACATATTTCATGGATGATTTCATTTATTTATTCCTCCCTTAATGACTCATTAGCAGACTTAGCAGAAAGAATTATTGATCTGCTTTCAGGATTCTGTCTGAAGAATGTGAGTTCAAAATTATTTTATTATGCACAGCTCACAGCACAGCGGTTTCTCTGGCTCCTTATAAAATGGAAGAATACTTAAAAAACATTTGGCCTACTTAAACAACGGTTTGACGATTAAAGTAAGTAAAGTACCATGAAGTGTGCAAGTATCTTACGGTAAAGAACAAATCTTAAGTATGTAAAAAAACGCGTGTGGAATAATGTGCAAAAAACACAACCAAATTAAAATACAAAAAATCCGTCAAGAGGAGAGTGTTCCAATTATGTTGAGTACTTTTACCTTGACGACGAAGTCCATACTTTCAGGAAAAGATGACTCAGGAATTGACAAACAAGCACCCGGGAATTCTGGCACACTGACTGCTATCTTTGAACATTCCCCAGAGTCCTCCTTTCGAATTTTGTAGGACTTAAGACGACAAATAACGGCATAACGAGAAAAACTGGTTACTTTAGCGTGAACAAAAGGCAATTCAGTGTTCCATTGCGAGCTTTCGCCTTGTAGATCTGAAACAAATTTTTTAGATATAAACATTTTTCATGCCCTGCTACCTCAGTCCTTGGATTCCAGCATAGACTATGTGAGATACTTAAAATTAATCGTAAAGTTCATGAAACACAGGAGAGAAAACAGTTAAGGGACACATGCGCTGTTGTTCAGGTCGGAGGGGTGTGTCAAAGTGACAGTTACAAACCTGATGGTATCACCTCTGGGGTTTCTAGATCCCTCCATCTTTCTGTATCGATCATCTCCTTCATAACAAGTTCGTAACCTCGCAAGCACTATGCAGAATGAGTTAAGGCTACCTCAATGGAACTGTAACCTACACCGTCTGGATCATCACAGTCGAGTTCTATTACATTGCTCACCAATGATTCATTATCTTCAAGAGGAGGAGAAACTTTCCCAGGCTTCCTCAAAGAACATGTGACCAGCCTTGGATCTGGTACTGCTTTTGGGAGAAACTTTATGAAAACGCCCTCTTCTTTGAGAATCCAAGTGAAACCTTCTTCTGATACCAATTCTCTATAAGGAAACGTTAGGACCATTCACAACGATGTTCACTCTTTCTGCTTGAAAGATATTCCCGAGGCCATGCAAGACAAGGCAAAGGGAAAGCTACTCTTCTAGGTGAACTCATACTCTCGCTATGTCAATTTAGAGAGTAAATTGAGTCCGGTTCTTATCATAGACGGTTGTAAATCTAATTCAAACAGCTTTCAGAAATCAAAGCAAAATGGATTTACGGCCAAAACAAAGTTAATAATTTCGTGGCAAATAATGACACCAAAATTCTATGGTCTCGTCCTCCTGTTTATGACTTATGCAAGCGAGTTAAGGGTTAAGCTTACACGCATATTGGTAAAATCACCACTCACCTTCTTGATTGTTTTAACCTGGTGTCAGTGCCTCCACCCTTCCTTTAGCTAGCGATACGTACGCACGCACATGAATTGGGTGGTCTGATTGCTAACTCACAGACCTATGTAATGGCCTTCCGATGACAAAAGCAATGACAACCACAATAAGATATTAAGTAGATCTATAATTGCATGATTTCCAAACAAATATACTTACGAAAAAATTATCCTCTTCTTAATGGTCGCCGAGTCTTCTGATCTAGCTTCTGCAAAAACTTTACAAGAAATACACACAAATTAAGTATATTCAGGTGAAAGCAAAATTTCTTTGTTGTACAGACGTAACAACCCATGCGAGATCGTAAGAGGACACGTTAAAAGTTTGGGTTAGTACCTAGATTTTCGGTAAAACGTACTCCCAGCAGCCAGAGTGTTATTATGCAAATTAAAAAGAAAGCGTTTTGATTTTTAAAATGTTCCATTTGTCTAAGTTTTTGTTGGTATGATAAAAAAGACGACACCCTATAAGAAAGCCGATAGCTTTTGACGTATTTTGTACTGAACGCGAAACTATAAACTAAAGTCTCAAAACTAAAAAAAAGTCAATTGGGAAGTTTCGTTGCATTCTGGTTTATTATAAAAGGGGCGGTGGGGGAAGTGTGTCAAGGATATAAAAGAATAGCGCATTATTGGTCACCTGTATCTATGGAGACAGAGACGTCTATTGAAATGAGCTATCTGTCTCAGTGATCTTTCTGACACATTGAGAACAGGCACCAAGAAAGTGAGTCGGGCGCGAAAGCTTGCGCAAATAAGAGTGCGGGCACATCTATTTGACAAACGAGGGTGCAAAGGACTGAGGTAGGAAAAAATAAAAAACATTTTTTCTCAAGTTGTGTATGAAAAAATGTCCCAAAGTCTATTTCTAATGTTGAAATTTGTTAACTAAATAGCCACATCAGTGTTATTTACCCTGATCTCTGAGTATCGGCGAACTACGAATTGCTTTCCCATGAGTTGCTGATACGCTTCTTCCTGCAGCCCGCGTCACATCTATTTAAAAGAAAAAATATTTTTGTTGTTTATGTCGGGTACATTGTAAGATGAGTTTAAGACGGCCTTTAGAAACTGAAAACTGAGCGGGACTAGGAAACCGTTTGAGTGAAGGAGAATACAGTCAAGTTTTGCATACATACATATATAAACTTTATTTTTTATCGAATTTAGGAGTAGCTCAAAAAAAACTAATTTTCCGAGAGAAAAATAACAAATAGCAAAAGAAATCGACATGATATACAATGACATCATAAAATAAAATCCTGTGCAATATTTATAACTAACAGGCTAAAATGAAATAAATAGATTTAATGAATATTTAAAAATCCAATATGAATTCAATTACAATATGTTCTAAAATGACATTAATTTAAGGCTAGCTAATGCTTTTTTAAAGTCATTAAGGTTCGAACATTGTCCGGTATTGAATACCACAGTTTAACGGCATGATAAGAAAAAGAGCGAAGGCCATAAGAAGTAGTCTTAACAACGGGGAGTTTCAGAATGTAGTTACCGCGGAATTTATAATTGGTATTACGGAAAGTAAACATATTCCTCATGTAGATAGGATACTTAGTTAGAAATAAACTTTTGTAAAGTAAAATTAACATATTGTATATACGTCTGTTATATAAAGAAACACAGTTGACTTTGTCCAATAAAGTTTTAGACCTCGATTCAACATCACTCAGAATGAACCTAAGACTTCTTTTATTAAGAGCATCTAGTTTCTCGGCGTTTCGTATGCTACAGAAATGCAACACCGAGGAACAATATTGAAAGTGCGGTAAGATGAAGGCTTTATACAATTTGACCAAAGTGGCTTTAGAGATCAGTTTTCTAAATCTTATCATGACATTTAACTGATTATTGATCTTTTGCACTTCGAAGATACGTGTTTATCACACTGAAGTTTGTTGTCAATGTTCATACCAAATATGTCGACTGACTCTTTAACTAGAAAAAGGAATGTATACTCTATATCACCAAGGATCAAGGCCTCAGGTTTAGTTTCGTTCACAATCATACCATTGTCATTGTACCATTCATTTTCTTTTTCAACTGCCTTACACAAGCATTCTTCAAGTGCAATCGGATCTTTGTCTGAGTAATAGATTTGATGGTCGTCAGCATACGTATTTAGCTTAGCTCTCTTTATATGATAGAAGAGATCGTTAACAAATATATTAAAAAGAATCGGCCTAAGACACTACCCTGAGACACCCCACGCTTAACACTGTTCCATGATGAGAACGTGTCATCTATCTTCACTCTCTGTTGTCGATTTGAGGGATAATCTCTTAACAAGGCACAGCTGTCCTCGTCTAGTCTGTAGGCTTTGAGCTTGGCTAATAACAGGGGGTGTTGTAGAACATCAAAGGCCTTTGACAAGTCCATTGACACTATCCCTACGAGTTGCCCATCATCTACATTGCAATGCGATGTAGACGACGACACTCCTACCCTCGAACATTTAGCAAAGACCCACTAAGCTAGGTCTCTTTTTGAAAATATTCATTACCTTTCTAGTGCAGTTTATAATTTTTAATTTTTTTAAAGGTCTTTAAAGGGGGCAGATCTCTTTCTACACCAGTCAGACACTAATGAACCCTTCTATGTATTGCCACCCGAGCACCAGTCATTATTTATCGCCTGGGGAAGGCAGAGAATTTTTTTTTTTGGGAGGAGGGGTCAAATGGTGTTCAGGGGGAGTTGAGGAATTGGAGTGGAGGCAAAACCATACGACATTGATATATCTCACCGGATTACACCGCGTCATGTTATCAAAGGGCGACCCAAACCTATTATTTGTAAATTTACTCGAAGGATTACCCATGAGCAAGTCATAGTATCTCGAAAGGAGGTTAGCAAATCAACCCAACAAGCATTGGCCCTCTGGGGAATGTCTCTTTGGAGCATGCTGGAATTTTCGCTCATTTAACTCCTCGTCTTCAAGGCTTGCTGTCAGATGCAAAAAAATTCAAGGAAAGGTTCAATTATACATTTTGCTGGACCAAAAACTCGATAGTATGGCTGAGGAAAAACGAGAGATCTCGACCCATCGCAATAAAGAGTACGACGGATTTAGATAATCTTGTGTCTCGCCAGCAATCATCAAGTTAAGAAACCATAAGTCAAGAAGCGAGCATTATCAACTAAGGTAAATTTAAGAAAAGCTCTCTTACGCGAGCTTCCAAACTATTTATGCGATGTCATCTCTTCCTATGGTCAGTTTAATAACAGTCTTAATTCAAGCCTTCCTACTAGATCTTTGCCAACACCTCTTTCTGCTGGAGGTTTTGGTATGTATATTGATGAGCAATTTAAATGCACAGTTCTTGAAAGAAGTTTAAATGAAGCTTTTCAGGCTCTCTGGACTGAGTTGCATCTACCCAAACATACAAATATAATTTGTGGTGTTGTTTATAGACAGCACAATTCACCAGAGCGTTTCCAGGAATATTTTGAGGAAATCTTCTTCGTTTTTACTCCTGCAAACATGCTCAAAATTTCATACTTTATTTGCAAAGTTTTAATTTAACTCTAACAATCGACAAACCAACGAGAGTACACAATAATTCATACTCACTTATTGATAATATCTTCCTGAGTAATATAGAAGATAACATAACTAGTGGTAATATAGTTTCGGATCTAACTATAACTTTTCACAATTCTGTTATCTTCTCTCTACTAAAAATATTTATAATCATAATTGTCATAGTAAAGCTAGCTCGTGATTATTCAAATTATTCTGAGACAAACTTTTTGCTGGACCTCCCACAGGTTGACCTGATTGAAGCAGTTTCAAAAGAAAGTGAATAAGTCTTTCTCCTCATTTTATAACAAAATAAACAATCTTCTCAATAAGCACGCTCCTTTAAAGCCAATTTTAAAACGAAAGATAAAGCGACTCTCAAAACCTTGGATAACAAAGGGAATCAGAGATTCAATTAAAACAAAGAACTCTCTTTATTGTTCAGGTGACATTGACATGGCTTACAAAATCTATCGTAACAAAGTATTGATGCTTACACGAATGAGCAAGAAAATGCACTTCCACAAATATTTTGAAGAAAATTTAACAAACACTAAAAAAGCCTGGGAGGGTATCAGTAGTCTTCTAGGCCGGAAAAACAAGGTCCGAAAAGATATAAGCTCTTTAAAATGCCCGCGAACGGAAGAAGTATTCTATAATTCCTCTGAGTTCCCTGATATAATGAATAAGTATTTTTCTTCAGTTGGATATAATTTAGCCTCTAAAATGCCAAATCCATCAAAACGATTTACTAAATATCTTTCAAAACTAATTTCCTCTGGTTCGTTCTTCTTTAATCCTGTGTCTTCTTCTGAAATTGAACCGTTGAAACGACTATTCCTCAAAATAAAGCTCATGGATTATATTCTCTAACTATTCGCATTTTAAGATCTGCTAAACATGTCATTAGTCAACCTTTGTCTATAATTATAAATAAATCACTCGAATATGGAACTTATCCATCGAAGCTAAAACTTGCTAAAGTTATTCCAATATACAAAAATGATGATGAATCTGACCCTTCTAATTATAGACCTATATCTCTTCTGTCTGTTTTAATCGTATTTTCGAAAAAATGATGTATCATCGTCTCAAATGCTCTCTTGAGAAACGTAATATACCTAATGATTCACAATATGGTTTCCGCGAGAAACGATCCACTAAACACGTTATCCTGGACATAATCAGTCAAATTGAAAATAACATTGACAAAAAGATGTATTCGTATGGTATATTCATTAACTTCAGGAAAGCCTTCGACACGGTCGGCCATTCAATATTATTGCAAAAGCTGAATCATTACGGAATACGTGGAATAGTGAACAAGCGGTTTGCTTCTTACCTAGTAGGTCGACAACAAACAACACAAATTGGTGTTTAAAATATATATATCCAAGAAGGAAGTAATATTATCAGGAGTTCCACAGGGGTCGGTGTTAGGACCCCTACTTTTCCTCATTTATATATAAATGATATATCTAATAGCTCTAATCGATTCGGATTTTACTTATTCGCAGATGATACTAATCTCTTATATGCTGATAAAAATCTTAAGTTATCCGAAACCATGGTTAATGCTGAACTCTGTAACATCTACGATTGGTTAATCGCTAACAAGTTATCCCTGAATATAAAAAAATCTAACTTTGTTATTTTTCGGCCGATTCAGAAAAAACTGAATCACCAAATAAATTTGGGAATTTTTGACCATCCTACTAACAGTTATATTTCTCTAGAACGTAAGGAATTTATTAAATACTTA